ATAGCTAAACAAAGACAGGCCAAAAAAATCAGGAAACAGTATAAGTCAGAAGGTAAACACCAAACGTAATCTAGACCAACAGTTTCAATGATAAAATCATAGGTCAAAATAAGCGATCAGACTAGAGTCACTTCTGTGATCTCCGATTCCAGCCTCTCCCTTTTGTTTTTCATTGCAGCCTAGGGGTGGGGCTTTGTCTCCTGTTTCACACTGTTGCCTTAGGAGCTAAGGTAAAGTTTGTTGCTAGGTGGGCGGGGCAATGGAAGTCTCTGCCTGGATAATGGCAAGGCAGTTTAAGCAGATCTGTTTTTCTCCACTTGTCTGGGTCCTCTGGCTTGGGGTCTCACGCTGAGTGCCTCAGCCAGGGTGGACCCGGAGTTCCAGAGCTCCAAAGTTCCAAAGGGCAGGCTGTAAATGGCGAGAGTGGCGCTGGGTCCCTACAGAGTACTTCAGCCAGTAATGGAACCGGTGTCTCTGAGGGGCGGGCGCTCAGAGCCTCCCTGTGCGACCAGCGGTGCCGGGTGCCGGGCCAGGGAGAGAGCTGGAGGGAGCAGGGACGCAAAACTTCCCTGCACGCTGCAATACCTGGCCTTAGGAAATGAGGTAAAGTTTGTTGATAGGTGGGCAGGGCAATGGAAGTCTCTGCCTGGAGAATGGCAAGGCAGTTTAAGCAGATCTGTTTTTCTCCGCTTGTCTGGGTCCTCTGGTTTGGGGTCTCACGCTGAGTGCCTCAGCCAGGGTGGACCCGGAGTTCCAGAGCTCCAAATTTCCAAAGGGCAGGCTCTAAACAGCGAGAGTGGCGCTGGGACCCTACAGAGTACTTCAGCCAGAAATGGAACCAGCGTCTCTGAGGGGCGGGTGCCCAGAGCCTCCCTGTGTGACCAGCGGCTTGATGCCGGGTGCCCGGGCTGGAGACAATGCAGCCGGGGAGGGATCTGGAGGGGGCTGGGACCGGAGACTTCCACACACGAGTAGAACGGCAGCAGTGGGGGGAGGGGCGCAATATCTGGCCTTGCCTGGGACTGAAGTTCCCGGGCCTGACCCCAGCGCGGTTGGTGGTGGGCTGGGGGATGGGGGTAGTGAAGTGATAGCCTTTTTGGGAACTCATGTTCAGTGAATCTCACCACTTCACCTGTGCCGTCACCATCTTGCCCTGTCTCAATTTTATATTTTTATATCAGTATTTATTGTAGCTCTATAATTCTTTATGTGCCATTTAAAGATTTTCAGAGTTTTCCAGTCTTTTCTCAAAAGAAAGAAAGAAAGAAATCTGGAAGTTAATAATCACTACCATCCTGGAGTCTGGTATTGTAGTTTGAAATTTCTGTGAAATAATTTATAATACAACAATATGCAGTATATATTAACAAAGTTGACTATTCTTATTTCTTAGGTCATTTTTTAGATATTACACCATTTGCCATTGTGTTTTATGTTGTAAAATTATTGTCTCTGTGAAATGTGCTATTTATAGCTATTTAAACTGGACTGGATTAAAAAAATGTGGTGCATATACACAATGGAATATTATGCAGTCATAAATAAGGACAGACATATGGACTTTGCAACAACGTGAATGAATTTAGAGTCGATCATACTCAGTGATCTATCACAGAAACAAAGAACAGAGTACCATACGTTCTCATTCATAAGCAGACGTTGAACAATTATAATACTATAAGAAAGTGATTGGCAGTAGTGGGAAACTGTCAGCGGAGTGGGGTGGGATTGGCAGTTGGAAACTGCTAGGGGAGGGAGGGGCATACTTCATCAACAAGGGTACCTGCATAATCAACATTTGTATACCTAACCCTGAATTGTACCCCATATCTTTATAATAAAAAAAAAACAAAGAAAACTCATCATCATCTTACTGTGTGCCACAGGGAGCATGTATACCACAATGAGAAGTTCATTAGCAGTAGACATCTAGTCACCCTCTTTGAGTAGCTCATTCACATTCCAGTAAAGCCATGCTTACCGGGAATTGATTATGATTCTGACTTATCCCACAGGTTAAAGACCAGCTTTGGCAAGACCTCATCTCTATAATAAATCAAAAACTTAGCTGGGCATAGTGGTGTGTGCCTGTAGTTCCCAGCTACTTGGAAGGCTGAGGTGGAAGGATTGCCTGAGATCAGCAGGTCGAGGCTGCTGTGGCCGTGAGAGTGCCACTGCACTCCAGCCTGAGTGACAGAGTGAGACTCCAGCTCAAAAAAAAAAAAAAAAAAGGAGAAGAAAAAGCATATACATAGGTGTATTGCATCAAATGGATAGTACTTTGAAGGTGACTAAAGTTTAATCATGTAAGAATAAATACACAATTTTTATAAATAAATTCCATTGTTTTGTCTCCTCCCTCATAAATTTGAATTATGGCTGATCATGTAATTAAACATTTTCTGATGAATGACTGTAGTGGTATAGTACGCATTTAGTCTGAATTTTCTAGCTATTCTAATTTAAGATATTTGATTTATTGCTAATGTTTATTTTATAAATATCTTTCATTTATATTGAGTCTGCATATCTTGGTTTATTATATCTATGTTTTGATATCAATATATTATGGAACAAATGGCTGCATTAATTTTCAAAACAGTATATTATGCCAAAAGTCTTATTTTTAAAATATGTACAGAAGTTATGTGAGAATCTAATATCTAACAAAAACACAAATAACTTGAAGTAAAAATTACTTTATATAATAAGGAATTTGAGAACAGGTTTCATAACTCTTGACTTGGATTCAGAGCCTTCTGCAAGTCGATAATGCCTAGCGTTAGTAATGATCATCATTGTACCAGTATTCATCCTCTTCCTTGTCCTCCTTCTTAGAAACTCTTCTTCCTGCTACTGGCACTATCACTTTCTCTTATATAAAAATGAGAAAATTATTTAAAAATAGTATTGGATTATATAGAGTTATTACTGGTCTTATCTCAGTTCTTGTCCTGTGAGAAAGTAACCAAACAGAGCCTATGCAATTTGCCTTCAATATATATATTGATTTTAACCATTTATAAGTTTTATGGTGCAGCTAATAGGGTGGTAGACCAAAATGATCCTAAAAGATTATATAATGGCATAATACAAAATGATTACTTTCTACATGTGTCATAGACATGTGATGTTAATTTAAAATATATTAGATTCTTACATTTCTTTATAAGAAATATTCTATACACTAACAATATTTTTTATTGTAAACTAAGGGAACTCTTGGATACACATGGTAGGAATTATTTGATCTTTATTATACATAAACTGTTCATTTTCTTTGTGCTTCACTGTCAGGTAGCTACAATACTGAGACACAAGTTTCCAAAAGAATTTTGCTGAAGTGTACTACAGGCTAGGCTTAAGGCAGAAAATACCTACTCTACCGGGTAAACCGTCACTTTTACATTCTAAGATGTAAACCTCTGTGTTTTCAATGCTGAATAGTTAAATGAATGAATAAAATCAAGTAAATATTTGGCTTGGCTCCCAGTATCGTTAGGGGCACACATTTACATTGTTAAGGAATCATGTTTTTTTTAAAGCGAGAATACTGATGAAGATCCTTATAATTTAAAATACAACTTTGGGGGAGGAAATACAATTTTAAAATTTCAACTTCATTATAATAACTACCAATACTTATATTTTTTAAAACAAGTCCACAAATAATCAGTTGTGTAGAACTTTGTTAGAGAATGTAATCTTGATGTGTTGGGTAATCAATTTCTATTTAATGAGTAGTTGTTTCTCAAATGAATGGCACATGTTAAGTAATTAATAGTGTTAGAAATAATTTTAAAAAGACAACATTTACAATATTATTAATATTTATGGATCACTGACTATGTGCAGAGACATTTTATGTGCTTTATCTATATTAACTCTTTTATTCCCTCACAACACAATATGTCTGGTACTATTGTATAAAATAGGCATAATTATCTCTGTCAACATTCTAGTCCACTTTTCCATCATCTGTTTCCTAAGTTTATGTAAATTTTTAAAAATAGTCTATTCCTTCCACTCTCATTGTTCTGCAATTCAATCAATTGAACATCTTAGGAGCTTTCTTTACCAAAGAAATCTTGTTACTGCTCTTCATTTTTAAATTCTTTTCAGTTACTCCCCATTTCCCTTAATAAATATTGCCAACTCTAATAATTTTATGGCTCCAACTTGCCTCTCCAGCATCATCTCCTTCTTACATAGTCTCTCCCTGCAAAACTAAACTTGGAGTCATGAGAACTGTCTTCCACATTTCTTTACCTATTCCTGCACATTGTTCATGTCTCACTTTAATTATCAGTGATTCCAGAATACTTTCTATTCCTGCTGGATGCTTTTTTTGGGTATTGTTACCTTTCCTTAAGATAATACTTTCCACACAATTTGTATTACTTTATTTTATGCTAGCTTTTAAAGTAGAACGTCGTGGTAGCGCGCGCCTGTAGTTCCAGCTACTTGGAAGGCTGAAGCGGAAGGATCGCTGGAGCCCAGCAGGTTGAGACTGCGGTGGCCGGGAGCGGCCACTGCACTCCAGTCTGGGTGACAGAGTGAGACTCCAACTCAAAAAAAATAAAAATTTAAATAAATAAATAAATAAATAAATAAGTAAAGTAGAACGTAAAGTGTGTGCGGACAGAAATTGTGTCTACTTTGTTTCCCTGAATATCCATCACTTAACTGTGCTTTGTGCTAATCACTTTATAAATATCTTTTGAATGATGATGAATAAATATTTACTTGTGGCATAATGAAGACCTTAATTTAGCCAATCTATTGTCAGTCTCCTTAGTATGTGTCTTTATTCTGTGATGATAAAAAACATATATACTTGTGATGATATAGAGGTAGATGTTTCTAATAATTATCTGTGTTATCCTACCCATCTTTCATCTTTCTTTCACTGTAAGCCAAACACTCTGAATTAAAAATATAAAAATATTCCCAATGAAAAGTCAAACAAAACAAAACAAAGCAAACATGAATATGGTTACCTTAGGCAGGGCTTTGGCAGGTTTGCAGTGGAGACCTCCAACAAAATCAAAATTTGGTAAGAATGGGCGAGGATATTCAAAATCCCAGTAGGTTTGAATGAGCCACATATCAGCTTTTCCCATTGTCTCCAAGAATGTAGTGGGTCTTCCTGAAGGAAAAACAAGAAAATAAATGGTAGATGACACAAAAGAATTGTAAATATGCCAGGTATTTTCTGAAAGGAGTTAAAATGATGAAACCAAAGCTATATTAAGTGTTTGTGATTTGATAAAACGATATACATATATTTATACAAAGGCATAATTTTATTTTCATGTATTATATATTTTCTCATAAGTATTTGTAAGAAAGGCAAAGTGTTGTGAGAACTGTGAGAGGAAACTACATCTTTAACGTCACATCAGTATATTCACAATCATAAACAATATTTAAATAAGCCAAAGAGAATTATGCATTTATTTACTCTCTAAAGCTGCAATAGTAATAGATATGCATTTAAACAACTCTTTGAGCTCCATAAGCAATTAATCGTACTGCACCCATAAAGACAAGTTTCTAAGAAGTACTTTAATTTGCATTGTTCCTTCAGCTTGTCCCTTGATCCTTGGCTCTTCCTCCAAAAAACGAGTATTATGAAAGCATGGGTAAAATCATTGTACCATTTAGTCCATGTTATGATCTTAATAATATTAGTTTTTATGTAAATATATTTTCAAACGACCATTGAAACATTTTTAGAAGTTATTGAAATAGAGATTTGTCTTCAATTTTAATTTGGTTCATATTTTTTTCTTAATGGAAACTTTAAGCAAAACTTATAGAAAAACATTTGATGTTCACTTTTCAATAAGTTTGTCAGCTTTAAGTCAAATGACTGTCAAGCCTTTAGTGAAGAAGTAAAGAAATGTTAGTCTTCTCAAATCACTGCTATTGGTTTTTGTGTGGGGGATAAAGACATTATATTTCTCATTTGTAAAGAAAACATTGCAGTAATGTGGGAAAATATTTATTTTCTAGTCAGGGAAACTGAGGCCTACAAGGAGAAACAATTTTCTCAATGGAACATAAATGAAGATGCTAGAAAAATGTGTAACTCCTCATTCTAAATGTCTGCTTTTGGGAAGATGTTTTTTGATGTATCTAATTATTTTTTTTAAAGATGCAAAAAAAAATATAGTAAAATGGATGTGTGATTACTTAAATAAATCTCAGGTGCTTTAGTTTATAAGTTTATGACTTCCTTCAATGTTCTGCATGAATTATGGTCACAGGATTCGAACTGACTTTGTAACGTAAGCCTCCCCAAAGCAGTTGTGAGATTGATAGATCATCTTATGTTTTTATTTTATCATTTCACTTCCAAAGACAGAAAAGTTCTCTGACTTTATATAAATTCACCTTCAAAGACACAAGGTTAGAGCTTCATGCACCAATAAAAAAACATGACTTACCTAGCACTTTACTGTAAAACTGATCCCATTTCTTCATATCAAATGGTTGAAACCAAAAGTCAAAATAAAGCACATATATCATATTTTTTATTCTTTCCATGAATGTCATTTGATCACTTAATTCCGACATAATGACAGGTACATAGGAAGGAGGGAGCAGAAGTCCTCCACTATACTTCTCAAGTGTGTAGCCAGGAGACATGCAGAGACTGTACACAAAGGGTATTTTAAATAGCTGAGCCAGCAGTTCACCACAGGGACCAATGGCATCTGCAAGAATGACATCAAACTTTGACTCTTTTAGTTTAGTCATAAGTGTCTTGTTCAAAGCAACATCTTCACAGAACTTTTTAAATATGTTAGAATATTCCCACATGATTTCTTGTACTTGTGAAAAATGTGACCAAAATGTATCTTTTGGAACATATGTCCATGCATCGACCAGTCTCATGATAGTATCCTTAAGATCATTTTTAGTTAATGAGGTAGGATAAACTTCAAATTTAATAATGGACGATTTGCCGGGATCAACAAGAATAGAAGATGAAGCTGTCAATACAGTCACCTCATGACCTCTCCAGACAAGTTCATCTAGGATTGTCTTCATATTCATCCAGTGGCTGTATTCTGTGGGCCACACCAGCACCTTCCCACAATTCCCAGGGCTAAAGTAACAACTTAGCTGTACCAGCAGAAGACCTGAAGCCCATTTCATAGACATCCTGGTGCAATGCAATGCTCCTTTTCCAGCTGCTGTTCCATTATGCCATTTCTCATGCTTGTGCTCAAGGATAAATCAGACAAGAAGTTAAAATGTTCCTTTTGCACTTCAAAGTAAATACATTATATTAACACTCTGAACACTGGATGACAAAGGGACAGACAAAAGTTAGATAACCTCCTGTTTGCACAAGTGTGTTTGATGTACCTTTTATGTTTGTAAATGCTACCATCCAGTTAATAGCAATGTTCTTGCAGAGATAAATCACCTTGTGTAACATACTGTAGAATACTGCCATGAACAGTGGCCGTGAGAAGCTCCTGTTTCTGCCATCGCTTTTACACAGAAGCAAGGATAAAATAATTGTGCAGCTGAATCATCATTTCTTGAACATCAAGGTTCAATAAATTTTTTTAAAACATTGATGACATTCATATATTTAAAAAACAACCAATTGTGTAAAATTCAATATTGGATATTAACTAATAACATTGTGCATCTACCACAACAATCACTTTGAGAGGATTTTTATCTCTCCAATAGACTTTAGACTTTTTCTCCCCACCCCAGTATTTGCATTTCCCCTGCCATGGGCAACTACTAGTTAAATTCCAATCTCTATAGTTTTGCCTATTTGGACATTTTTTAATTAAATAAAATAATGTACTATGTGGTGTATTACGACTGGCTTCTTTCATTTAGCATAACATTTTAAAGGTTTATTTATGGTATAGCTATAAGAACTTCATTCCTTTTATTACCAAATAATAATTCCATAGTAAACATATGCACATTTTATTTATTTATTAATCAGTTTATGGACATTAATATTTTCCCCAGTTTTGGGCTAGTATTAATAACAATGCATATTCACATTTGTGTACAAATTTTGTGTAGATATGTCTTCATTTATCTTGAGTATAGATATGCAAAAGTAGGATTACAGAGTCATATTCTACTCTATGTTTAACTATAATAAGTTAAACTGTATATGTAACTTTTCAGGGGTTGCTAGACTGCTTTACAAAATGGCTGCACCATTTTCCATTCACAACAGCAATGTATGAAGGTTTCCATTTCTTTCTATAATTAGCACTTACTATTGTATGTCTTTTAAGTTATTGGGTGGTTAGTAGGATTTAAGTTATATCTTATTATAACTTACATTTTCTTGATATCTAGTGATGCTGAGCATTTTTTATACTCTTATTAGTCATTATATATTCATACCATTTGCCCACTTTTGATTGGGCTATTTTTCTAATTATTGTGTTGTGTTCTTTATATATTTTTGATATAAGTACCTCATTAGATATACAATTTGCAAACACATCCTCCAACTCTGTAGATTTTCTTTTTACTTTTTGATTGTGTTCTTTGAAACACTACACAAAAAATGGATAAAATTCATCTAATTTTTGAATTTTTTTATTGAGATGGAGTTTTGCTTTTCTGCCAAGGCTGGTCTTGAACTTTTGGGTTCAAGCAATCCTCTTGCCTTGGCCTCTCAATGTGTTGGGATTATAGGCATGAGCCACTTCTCCTGGTCAGTTTTTTTCTTTTCAATACACATTCATTTTGTTTCATATTCTTGCCTAATAGACTTGACTAGAGCATTCAATACAATGTTAAATGGAATATGGAGAGTGGGTTTCATTTGTATAAATTAAATAGTGTTACCTATATGTGTTTTTTTTTAAATGCCAATTATCAGTTTAAGGAAGTTTCCCTCTATTTGTAGTTTGAGTATTGTTATGGTAAGAGGTACTGTATTTCATTACATAATTTTTTCAGCATTTATTGAGATAATCATGTAATTTTTGTTCTTCTTTCCAGAGATATGGTATATTATATTAATAGATTTTTCAAATGTTAAAGAAATTTTGCATTCCTGAGATAAATCCAACTTATTTGTGGCATATAATTGATTTTGTTTGTTCCTGGAATCAGTTTGCTAGTGTAATGTTGAGAATTTTTGTGTCTATAATCACAAGAGATATTGATCTACAGTCTTTTTTTTTTTTTTTTTTTTTGGTGATCTCTTTGTGTGGTTTCAGTAGAAGGGATTAATTGAATATGTTACTATTTATTACTGTTTTATGATTTCCAAATATCCATGATTTTTTCTTCTATTAATTGTGAAATCTCTTCTTTCAAAACACTGTCTAAATCCTACCAAAAGTTTCATCTCATCTCTTAAGTAAACTGCATTTCTAAAGCATATCTTAATTGCTTTGTGTTAGAAAAAATGTGTTTTTTTTTCCCTTTGGATTTGCATATTCTATACCAATTATATAACATTTATCAAAATATTTGCTGTAGCTATCAAAACATACTAGTAGTAAATTATTAGGTAGCCCCCATGGCAAGGACTGTGCAACATGCCTTCCCCTAAACCATCTGGAACCTTGTGAGACAGAAGATAGCTAGAGAAAGGCTACACAGACAGGCGGGTCCTCTAGCAACAATATAGCGAACTCCTTCCTGGCAGGCCTCTCAGGCTCAGCATTGGTAAACAAGCTCCCTGTGAGTCTCTCAAACTAGAATTTAAGTACCCGCTGCTGTACTTGAAAAGCAAACAATCAGCTCTCCATTAGGCCCCTACCTCCTACTGATTGGTCCTTAATACTGACCAATCAGAACAGCTCACAGCTAGTGCTAGCCAATCAGTTTGGACTTGGGGCTATATAAGCACAAGGTTTCTGGCCCCAGATGGGTAACCCCTTGTAGTCCCCTCCCACTGTGGGAGATTTTCTGTTCACTCAATAAATCCTGCTTTCTCACTTTCTGACTGTCAGTGTCCCTCAATCTTCCTGGGCATGAGATAAGAACCTTGACCCTGTAGAGCTGTGACCTGAAGAGCTGCAGAAGACCTTTGGAGCTGAAGAGCCGTGCACAGCAGAGGCTAGCTTGCCTGCTGACTGAGCCAACTGAACCAGGAGAGCTGCGGAAGAAGGCAAGACTCTGAAGCTGAATCACTCCAGGGGTAGGCTTCCCAGCCCACTGGACCAGCAACACTCTCAGGGCCTGGCTTGCCAGCCCACCAGAACTAACACCCCGGGGGCGAGGTTTGCCAGCCCACCAAACCAGCAACACTCTCAGGGCTTGGCTTGCTAGCCCATTAGAGCTGACACTTCTGGGGCTAGGCTTACCAGCCCCTCGATGACCCTCTTGGGGACTTGGCTGGATGACCAATTGAGTTGATACTCTCCAAGCCCAGGCTGACCTGAAAAATCTGCAGCACCTGAATTTAGTGTGGAATAGTTGTGTGTTTGTGTGTATGTGTTTCTGTATGTGAAATATTAATCTAAAGGTTTTAAAAATGTTCACCTTGTCAATCAATCTAGAAAATAAAAGTATCTCTATTTTGTATTTTACTTGTGTTCCAGAAGATTAGTTCAACTTTTTGTAACATATTGCATTTCTGATTGATTTCCAAAGTACACATTAAACTTGCAAATAACCAATGACCTTTAGTCACAAAAATTAATTTTTAACTTTAATTTATGTCTATATTGCAATTTCCAGTCTGTACTCATTAAACACTCAACTCAACCTCTGCTGGGCAGTGTGTGAGAGAGCTGCCATCATGGTGTCTGAGAAGTGGGCTTCAGTAGTTATTCTTCTGCAGTTCTGCTTTGCTGGCTGTGGATATAGTGGGAAGATCCTGGTGTGGCCCTGTGACATGAGTCATTGGCTTAATCTCAAGACCATTCTGGACAAACTCATAGAGAGGGGCCACGAAGTAACAGTGTTGACTTACTCACAGACGTTTTTAATTGACTACAAGAAGCCTTCTGCACTAAAATTTGTGGTAGTCAATGTGACGCAGGACAAAGATTATGCTAAGAAGTCAAATAACGAATTTGTGAACTTCGTTCTTCACGTCTTGCCAAACTCATCAACCTGGCAATCAGTGATAAAATTGAATGATTTTTTTGTTAAACTGAGTGGATTTTTTAAATTTCTGTGTGAGAGTTTTGTCTACAATCAGACACTCATGAAGAAACTGCAGGAAGCCAACTACGATGTAATGCTTATAGATCCTGTGATACCTTGTGGGGAGCTGTTGGCTGAGTTGCTTGCAGTCCCCTTTGTAGTGTCTCTTAGAGCTTCTATAGGAGGCAATATGGAGAGACACTGTGGGAAACTTCCAGCTCCACCTTCCTATGTTCCTGTACTGATGTCAAGATTAACAGACAACATGACCTTTCTGGAACGAGTAAAAAATATAATGCTTTCATTTTTCTTTGACTTCTGGATACAAGATTACAACTTCCATTTTTGGAAAGACTTTTACAGTAAGATATTAGGTAAGAGACTCTTGTTCTCATTTTTATCTAGTTAGCAAAAGAAATTTGCCACATGTAGGATATCATATATAAGTGCCATGCTATGAATTTTTATATTATAAATGACGTAGTTTTTCTTTTTAAATAAAGTATAGTATTTGCTTTAAGAGTAAGACAATCTGCTTTCTTTTTTTTTTTTTTTTTTGAGTTGGAGTCTCACTCTGTCGCCCAGACTGGAGGGCAGTGGCCGCTCCCGGCCACCGCAGCCTTGACCTGCTGGGCTCCGGCGATCCTTCTGCCTCAGCCTAACGAGTAGCCGGAATTACAGGCATGCACTACCACGCCCTGCTGTTTTTTTGAGTTATTGTAGAGATGAGGTCTCGCTGCCCAGGCGGGTCTCGAACCCGTGGGCTCAGGCAATCCACTCACCTCAGCCTCCCAAAGGGACAATTTACTTTCTTAACACCAGTAAGAAAATAGAATATGAACAACATTAACAAAGAGATTATATTTGGAACTGGCTTTAAATAGCTTAAATCTGCATCACAAATATTTGAGAATCACTGATTGTTACTCTCAAATTTATACTATTTGTATTGGAACAAGGTGCCCATAACTCTTATCACTCTTATAAATTACAGAAAAATCTTCAGAAAATCCTTTTTTAGACTGTTTCATCAAACTAGTTATATTGAAAGATTTTCTAGAATTCTTTAGCTTCTTAGATTATTGCTTCACAAACTTAGAAAAATTGATTAGAAAAAAGATAAAAAGACATCAGATCTTGTGAAGTAAAAGATAGCAGAATTTGTACTTGACTAGGGTACACTTATTTGACTTATTATTAGTTTTTGCCTTTGCAAAAAAAAAATGGTCTTGCTTTACAAATTCGTACACATAGCTGTGATCTGAGGTGGTCATTGCAAAATAAAATTTTTCTCAAACTATATTTGAGAAATATTTGGAGGCAAACAAAAATAAAAAAATGAAATATGTGAAACATTATAAATGTTTTCCATTTTAATCTGCTGAATTTTCCTGAAAACGCTGTTTCACAAAATTAATGTTCAGAGAAACCCAGGTCAAATATTCTCAGCCATAGACATAATCTGAATTTACATGCATTGATTTTCTCTAGTTAATTAATTTAGCAGTCAGTAAGCACTGACTAGCTGAAGATAACATGCTAGGCTCTACACATGTAAATAAATAATGCCAGAATCTTGGTATCAAGTTTACCCTCAGAGATTAATTTAAAATACAGAATTCTAAATGAGTCCATACCAAACATTGATATAATAGTATTATGATGAAAGTCCCCAGATATGACTCAGAATAGAAGGACAAAACTGTTATCAAAAAAATAAGAGATGAGAAGGACACATTCCTATGCTCAGGCCAGGCATTCAGGAAACTCCGAAGAATTCTTAAAAAAAATTTTGATAACTATTGAGTAGCTTGAAATAATCAATCATTTCAATATAAATATTTACTTTGTAGCTCCCTCTTAATAGCCTATTGTTTATTATATATTTTATAAAATTATGTATTTTGATTATAAATCAATTGTACATATTAATACACTAAAGAAAATGGGATATCAGTAAATTTTAATTATTTATTATGCCCTAATGTACAAGCATATTTCTTATTGCTTTTTACAAAATAAAGGAGTGTGGCTATCTTGCATTGAGCAAGTCTATTGGCATCATTTTTTCAACAACATGTGCACACTTTGTGTCTCTGTTTAATATTTTGGTAATTGTCACGTTTTCCAACATTATATTATTATATCTGGTATGGTTATCTGTGATTAGAGAACTGTAATGTCACATTTGTAACTGAGGACAACATGAGTTATACTCATATAAGATGAAAAACGTAATTGATAATTTTGTAGGTGTACTGACTACACCAGCAACTTGATAAATTAGCAAACATTCTTATAGTTGATAAGGAGAAAGTTTCAGTGGTCAGGATAGAAAATCAAATCAATGAGACATGTGCTGTGGTTCATACTTACAATCCCAGTAACTCAGTAGGCTGCAGTAAACCGTGAGAGTGCCAATGCAATGTGCTCCAGCCTAATACAGAGCAAGGGCTTGATTCTTTAGTCACATGAATTTGAGAAAGGTGAAGAAACTGCAGAAGAAAAACTTGAAACTACCAACGGTTGATTTATAAGGTTGGATGAAAGAAGCTGTATCCATAATAAAAGTGTAAGTTGAAGCACAAAGTGCTGATGTAGAAGTTGCAGAAGATCTAGCTGGAATAACTGATGAAGATGGCTGTACCAAACAGATTTTTAATGTAGAAAAACACAATAATACTCAGTGATCTATCGCAGAAACAAAGAAGAGTACCACATGTTTCCACTCATAAACAGACCCTGAACGTTTACGGTAATACTGTAAGAAAGGGATTGGCAGTAGTGGGATACTGCCAGGGTGGAGGGATGGTAGGACACAACACCAATAAGGGCACCTGATCTCAAGCCAGATGAAGTGGGGACCAGAGGGAGGCCCAGACTTTACCTGTACAATGCCCACTTGTATACCTAATCCTGAATTGCGTCCTACATATTTAAAATTATATATATATATATTTTAAGTAATGTATACAAAATGGCTTTCTATTGGAAAAGATGCCATCTGAGGGCTTCATATTTTGAGAAGAGAAATCAATGCCTAGTTTCAGAGTTTCTTTTTTTTTTTCATAATCAATATTTTGTATTATGGTTTTGTGGGGTACAGTTAAGTGTTAGGTGTACAATTACATTTCATTCAGGCACCCTGTTGATACGAGGTGTTTCCCCATCCCCAGACAGATATTTGTTACTGTTAATCCCATCTCCTTCCCCCCGCATAGTTTCCCAGTACCATCAGTCATTTTCTTATAGTATTACATTGGATGTTCAAGGTCCACTATATGAGTGAGAACATGTGATACTCGGATCTTTGTTTCTGTGAGAGGTCACTCAGTATTATAGACTCTAGTTCCATCCAGGTTGCTGTGAAATTCATGATTTTGTTCTTTTTTATGGCTGTGTAGTATTACATCGTGTATATGTACCACAATTTTTTAATCCAGTCCTCTTTTGATGGGCAGCATGGTTGTTTCCAGGTTCTTGCTATTGTGAACAATGCTGCGATAAGCATACGTGTGCAGGTATCTTTTTAATAGAGTTATTTGAGTTCTTCAGGATATATTCCCAGTAGGGGGATTGCGGGGTCATATGGGAGGTTGACATTTAGAGCTTTTAGGAATCGCCACACTGCTTTCCACAGAGATTACATTAGTTTACATTCCCACCAGCAGTGTAGAAGTGTTCCCTTTTTGTCACACCCTCTCCAGCAGCTGCTATTTTTTGAGTTGTTGATAATAGCCATTCTGACTGGAGTTAGGTGGTATCTCAGTGTGGTTTTGATTTGCATCTCCTTGATGATTAGTGAGGTTGAACATTTCTTCATGTGTTTGTTGGCTGCTCGGATGTCCTCTTTTGCAAAGTGTCTGCTCATATCTTTTGCTCATTTTATAATGGGGTTGTTTGTTGTTTTCTTTTCAGCACATTTTAGTTCCTTATAGATCCGGGATGTTAAGTCTTTGTCAGACCTGGTGTTGGCAAATACTTTTTCCCAGTCTGTAGGCTGTCTCCCTGCTCTCTTGATGGTTTCTTTGGACTTGCAGAAGCTTGTCAGCTTAATAAGGTCCCACTTGTCTATCTTCTCTCTTATGACCTGTGGGTTTTGGGTTTTGTACAGGAATTGGATGCCAGTTCTGATTTCTATGAGAGTATTTCCTACCTTTTCTAAGGTTCTTATGGTTTGAGGTTTTACATTTAGGACTCTGATCCATTTGGAGTTAACCTTTGTGCATGGGGATAGATAGGGGTCCTGTTTCAATCTTCTGCATGTGGTCAGCCAGTTTTCCCAGCACCATTTACTGAATAGGTTCTCCTCTCCCCAGTGGTAGGTGGTGAGGGCCTTGTTGAAGATAAGTTGGTTGAGAAATTGAGGTTTTGCTTCTGGAATCTCAATTCTATTCCATTGATCTATATGCCTGTTCCTATACCAATACCAGTTTTGATGATTGAAGTTTTATAGTAAAGTTTGAAGTCTAGTAATGTGATACCACCTGCTTCGTTTTTTTTACTGAGGATTGTTCTGGCTATTCTTGGACATTTGTGTTTCCATATGAATTCCTGTGTTGTCTTTTCTAGGTCTGAGAAGAATGTTGCTGGTAATTTGATGGGTATTGCATTGAATTTGTAGATTGCCTTAGGTAAGATGGACATCTTCACAATGCTGCGATAATCATGCATGGGATATTTTTCCACTTGTTTGTGTCATCTTTGATTTCTTTGAGCAGTGTTTTGCAGTTTTCATTGTAAAGGTCTTTCACCTCTCTGGTTAGGAAGATGCCAAGGTATTTCATTTTTTTGTGGCTATTGTGAATGGAATTGTGTTTTTTATTTGGGTTTCTGTTTGTTTATTATTGGTGTAGAGAAATGCGATAGTCTTTTGTACATTATTTTGTATCCTGAGACTTTGCCAAAGGCCTTTATCTGGGTAAGGAGGTTTTTGACAGATTCTCTTGGGTTTTTATGGTACACAATCATATCATTTGCAAAGAGAGATAACTTGACTTTCTCTTTTTCTATTTGGATACCCCTGATTGCCTCCTCTTCTCTGATTGCTCGAGCCAGGACTTCCAATACTACGTGAACAGGAGGGGTGAGAGTGGACATCCTTGTCTTGTTCCAGTTTTCAGGGGAATTGGTTCCAATTTTTGTCCATTTAGGAGTATACTGGCTGTGGGTTTCTCGTAGATGGCTTTTACTATTTTGAGGTATGTTCCCCATATGCCTATATGTTCAAGCGTTTTTATCAAGAAGGGGTGCTGAATTTTATCAAAAGCTTTTTCTGCATCTAGTGATATAATCATGTGGTTTTTGTTTTGACATCTGTGATGTATTTAATTACATTTATGGTTTTACGAATGTTGAACCAGCCTTGCATCCC